GGGTAGGGGTGCTAGGTGCTGGGTGATAACAGTGAAGGGATTAAAAATACAAATTGGTAGTTACAGAATATTCACAGATGTAGATTACAACATAGGGAATATAGTCAGTAATATTGTAGTAACTATGTACACGGCAGATGGGTACTTGAAACATGGGGGGATCACTTTATAAAGTACATAATTTTCTTACCACTATGTTTTACTTCTGAAACTAATGCAGAATATATTGAATATAAACTGTAATTGAAAAATAGGTAGATAGATAGATAGATAGCTGCTAGATGGATAGATAGATAGATAGCTGCTAGATAGATAGATTTTCAATAGGTATATAAAAAACAAAGAGACCTGAAGTTTTACTGGAGTAAAAAGAACATCTCAATAGTATAAAATCTCTTTCAGATGTTTCACCAGCATTACCCCCCATATTTTAAAAAGCAACAGCACATACTGCGCCTTTTCTAAAAACCTCCTGGTAACCACACCTGATCCAAGAATTGGTTTCTAGTCTAGTGAAGGAATCAAAATCCTATCTCCTTCCCTAAGAGTGAATAAATCATTTCAAGAAAAAGCAAGTGTTTTCACTAAATCACAGGTTAAATTTATAAATTGGCTTCACCCAGAATACACTTAAACTACATGTAATACTACTCTGTAACTGTGCTCAAGGTTAACTGGGATGCCTCATATGTCCTCCTCTGAATTTGACTTATTGTACCTCTTTTCTCTTTGGAAGATCATATGAAACAGTGAGTCAGAGTAATTATCCTTCTGTCTTCAGCTATGCTGGCATTGAGAATATTTCTAGAGAGACTGCTTCACATGCTGTGATCTTCACCATTCTTTAGGTGCTTCACAAAGAGTGCTGCCTGGGAAAAAAGGAAACAATGTCAATGAAAGTGATTCATATATTAAGCACTAAAGAAATGTGAAGTGTTCCAACTAGGTACTAGTTCCTTAAAAGAAATAATGTAGCTTTGTTTGTTCCAAAAAGAATGGCAAAGAGGAAGGGAGGGAAGGAAGGAAGGTGACTGTCTTTACTTAACCTTCCCTTCTTAAGGATATTTATATTGGATATAGAATTCTGGGTTGACAATTCTTTCCTTTCAGCCCTTTAAATATATTGCACTCATTCACTCTGGGCTGTGTAGTTTCTAACCAAAAAAAAAAAAATCTGCAGTTAGTTTTGTCAGTGTTCCATCGTAGGTAACACATAATTTTTCTTGGGGTAGTTTCAAAAATTTTATTCTTAACTTTCACCTGTAAGATTGTGATGTGTTTGGGCATGGGTGTAGTGGGGTTTATTGTATTTGAGGTTCTCAGTAGTTTTTCTCTCTCTCTAAATTTGGATGGTTTTCAGAATATACTGTTTATCTTCTCCTTTTGGGATTTCAATAACATAAATATTAGACTTTTTGTAATTGTCCCACAGGTCCCTGAAAATCTGTTCTTTTTACTTTTTGTGAGGGGACTATTTTTTCTCCCTGTGGTTCAGATCCAATAATTTCTAGTTATTTATTTTCAAATATTTGGACTGTTTTTCTGTCATCTCCATTGTGCTCTTGAGCTCACTTAGTGAAGTTTTTTTAAAAAATTTAGTTGCTTTTCAGTCGTAAAATTTCCATTTGGTTCTTCATATCTTCTCTTTCTTTGCTGAATGTTTCTACTTTTCCATTTAATTCTTTTAAAACATATTTTTCATTACAGTTGATATACAATATTATATTAGTTTCAGGTGTACAACAGTGTGATTCAACATTTATATACCTTACATTGTAACCACCATAATAAGTTTAGTAAACACCTGTTACTGCACACAGTTACTAATAATTCATGGGGATGTACAATGCAGCATAGGGAATCCCAATGTGTTGTTTATTTTATGACTTGAATTTGTACTGCTTAATCTCTTTCCCCTTTATTGCCCGACAACCCACCACCTCACTGCTAACAACCATCAGTTCTCTGTATCTATGAGTTTGCCTCTGTTTCATTTTGATTACTTGTTTTGTATTTTAGATTCCACCTATAAAGGGAACCATAAGATATATGCTTTCTCTGCCAGACTTATTTCACCTAACAAAATACCCTGTGTACTATATGATTCATATTGTATTCCATAGTGATTGTACCAATCTGCATTTTCACCAGCAGTGCACAAGGGTTCCCTTTTCTCAACATCTTTGCCAACACTCGGTTGATTTATTGATGGTAGTCATTCTGACAAGTGTGAGGTGGTATCTCATTTTGGTTTTGATTTGCATTTCTCTACTGATTAGTGATGTTGAGCAACTTTTCATATGGCTATTGGCCATGTATATGTCTTCTTTGAAGAAGTGTGTATTCAGGTCTTCTGTACACTTTTTAATTGGGTTGTTTGTATTTCTGGTGTTAAGTTATCTGAGTTCCTTATAAATTTTGGATATTAACCCCTTATCAGATGTATCACTGGAAAATATTATCTCATATTCAGTAATTTGTGTTTTTGGTTTTTTTATGGTTTCCTTTGCTGTACAAAATTTTTTTTTGTTTGATATAGTACCCTTTGTTTCTTTTTTGGGTTTTTTTTTGCCCTTACATGAGCATATATATCAGAGAAATACTGTTAAGAGAAATGTTCAAGATTTTACTGCCTATATCTTCTTGTAAAAGTTTAGTGGTTTCAAGTCTTACATTTAAGTCTTTAATCCATTTGAGTTTATTTTTGTATATGTTATAAGGTTCATTTTTTTATATATCTGTCCAATGTTCCCAACACCATTTATTGAGTAGACTTTATTTACCCCATTATATGTTCTTGCCTCCTTTATCAAATATTAAGTGAAATTATAGGTGTGTGTTCATTTCTTGTCTCTCAATTATGTTTCATTGATATTTATGTTTGTTTTTATGCTAGTATCATGCTCTGTTGATTATTGTGGTCTTGCAGTACAATTTGATGTCAGGTAGTGTGATACCTTCAACTTTGTTTTTCTTTCTCAAGATTTCTAAAGCTATTTGGGTTATTTTGTGGTTCAATATAAATTTTTTTGTATTATTTTAGTTCTGTGAAATACACCATTGCTATTTTGATAGGTATTGTGTTGAATCTTTGGATTTGTTTGGGTAATATGGGCATTTTAACAATGTTAATTCTTCTTATCAATGAACATGGTATATGCTTCCATTTGTTTGTATTTTCTCCCATCTATTATAATTTTCTGAGTCTGTATCTTTTAACTCCTTGCTTAAATTGATTTCTAGTTATGTACTTATTTTTTGATGCAATTAGATGGGATGCTTTCTTAGTTTCCCTTTATGATAGTTCGTTGTTGGTATATAACAATACAACAGATTTCTGAATATTAATTTTGTATCTTACTACTTTACTGAATTCATTTATCAAATCTAATATATTTTTGGTGGAATCTTTAAGGTTCTCTATATACAGTATTTGGTTATCTGCAAATATTGATAGTTTTACTTGTTTCTTTGCAATTTGGATTCCTTCTATTTTTTCTTGTCTAATTGCTGTGGTTAGACTTGCAGCATCATGTTCAATAAGACTGGTGAAAACAGACATTTCTGTCTTGTTCCTGATCTTAAGGAAAAACACTTTTAATTTTTCCCATTGGGTATGATGTTGGCTATGGGTTTGCCATTTTTGGTCTTTATTATGTTCCCTCTAATCCCACTTTGCTGCAATTTTATATCATAAATAGGTCCTGGATTTTGTCAAATGCTTTTCTGCATTTATTGATTCATGTGATTTTTATATTTCATTTTGTTAATGTGGTATATCATGTTAACTGATTTCTGCATATTGTACCAAACGTACATCCCAAGAATAAATCCTACTTGATCATGGTGTATGATATTTTTAATGTATTGCTGAAGTCAGTTTGCTAACATTTTGTTGAGGATTTTTGCATGCATATTCATGAGGGATATTGGCCTATAATTTTTCTTTTTCTGTAGTGTCCTTATCTGGTTTTGAAATTTGGATAATACTGGTGTCATAAAATGAGCTTGGAAGTGTTTCATCCTCCTGATATTTTTAGAATAGTTTGAGTCACTTCTCTTTCCTTTGTAAGATGATTAACAGATTGATTCTATTTAAACTGTGGGAAACAAATGATACCATTAAATGTTTATATTTAAAGCAAATACTTTAATAGAGGTAGTGAAGTTTTCTGTAGGCTACGTGCCCTGACCCTAGTCTATAAATGCTCCTTCTGACTTTCCAACACAACTGCCAAACTCTGCCTCCGCACATTCTTTTTAAAACATCCATTCCAAACTCACTAGGTATTTCTATTATGGTCTTCTTAAAATTGCAGTATATCCAGTGGAACTGGGAAGATAATTTTTTTTTGTTTATTGAGGAGGAGCAAAAGAGGAAATATAGAAAGCATTTTTATTTGTTATTTCTTTAGGGAGAGATATTAAATAAAAACAGTGACATAAATTAGAATAATATCTTTTAATTTGACATTATTTGAATGGTGAGCACTTAGGGCAAAAGTATGTGCTTTCCCTTTATTTTAGCCCTTTGTACAACATCCTGGATAGGACTAGTGTGACTGATGATATTATTCATTTACATGTGGAACAAATAAATAAATATACCTACAAGTTATATGTTACTTAGGGAGTTTATATAAGTTCTGACAGATACTTATAATATTTGTTCTCAAAATTAGGTCAGTTTATTTAATCTGTATCTCCTTTCTCCCTCTGAACAAAATTTATTATGGGGGGGGGTTGATCCTTTTCTGCACTCCCATATATGTGCATGCTTAAAATGTAGTAAAAACTTACAAATGATGACTTACAACATCAGCCATCAAAATTGCATGTTTCTTCTCTCTAGTTTCCTGTTTTCTTTTTTTGTAAATATTCCTTGTTGACCAACAAGGAATGGTCTTGGGGAGGGAATGGAAAGCTTTGAACACTAGTACACACAGGCAAATACACAAAAAACTTGTGCTATATACATTAAAATTATTTTTCCCTTTTAGATCTTGAACTTGCCTGAATTGATTGATGACTGCAAGTATAAAACTAACCACCTTCGGGTACAGAATAGAAAAGAGCTTATTAAAATACTATCTGAACGGTAAGCTTGGAACTACTATTTGTACATTTAGGAGTTATGTCATTAGCATTTCTCTGGTGTTTTGTGTGTTCTTCTTGGCTTATTTAGATCAAGTTGAAATTATTTTCCATTTCACAAAATTGGTTTGTATGAACTAGTTTTAAAGCTAAGTGCCTTCTGTATTTAAATGCATTTGAAAGCTTTATATGTCTTCTTAGGTCTTGAGACTTAACAATTATATAAACAAGAAAGTTGGAATGTATTGATTGTTTATGGCATGTTATTTGCGGTTAGAATATCATAAATACAAACAACAACAGAACATGTGTAAAGGACACATGGAAAAAGCCGAAGGGGAATAGGATCAAGGGTGGGAAGTGGGGATAGTTGGGGTGGGGAGAACTGGTAGGAGGAAAATGGAGACAACTGTACTTTAACAACAATGAAAATAAAAAAAAATATTTTTACCTTTCCTGTTTTAAACACTCTACATAACTGATCTGTTTTAACCCTTATAATCTTAAACCTCTTTAACCTTACAATCATCCTGTGAATTAAGTTTTATTATCCCCCTTTTAACAGATAAGGAAACTGAGAGAAACAGAGTTAAGTCGAGTGTGTTGGCTTTTTTGAGCACCTTCTGTGAAGTTTGTTGTGATGTTTTGAAAATGCCAGATTGAGTTATGGGTCACAAAGGATTAATGTAAATCAGAGTATTTGATTTCCAAATTATTCCATTCATATCAGGTTATGCTGTGTTGAAACCTGAACCAATAATTTTGACTCACAAGAAAAGTAGTAACTCTTAATTATTAAAATCACTTTCACTTATATTATATCACATTTCTAAATACATAAATTTACTTTGTGTTTTTTGTAGTTCTAGATGCCTGCTTGAGCTATTATTCAGTATGGAACATTGGCTCTCATTATGCCAACAAATTATATGCTGTTGTTCAAGTACCATATCTTGTTCTTTGAAAAGCCACTGTATTTCTATGTATTAGATATAAAAGTTCTTAGAAAACAAAATTCTGCTAGTGTAATTTTTATTTCTGTTTTCTTTATACTTGAGGCTCTTACATAAGTCAACATTAATTATTTATTTGCTCTCTCCTGGATTTTAAGCACTTTTTCTGAACACTGCCTATATTCCCTTCATGTGCCAAACACTCTTCAGTCAATGGGAGCTCTGTGTGTGGGACTGATATACAGAGAATAGGGAAATGAGAATTTGGGCTCCCTTTTTCTGGTCATTAGTTATATGTAACTCTGATTCTACTGCAAAGCTTAAGAGCCCTCAATCACTAACTTTTCAGTACATGAGAATTGGCCACTTATTTATGCCTTATTCCTCTTTGCCTTGTAAGCAGTTTTTAATTCATTTAATTCATTGATATGACTTTTTGCTTTCACACCATGGTTATCAAGCTTCAATAATAGGCTCTTGTAAGAACCTTATAAAAGCTCTTTGATAGCTAAATAAATCATATAACTTCTATGAGAAGAGTGGACCCAATAAAAATACAAATGCTAGGCCGTTACAAGTGTCATCTTGTTATTCAGTTGCCAGTACTTTCATAACTTCAAGAACCTCAAAGTTAAATTACTGGTTTCCTAAGTCCTAAAACTTTTATTCCTTGCTAAATTCCATTGTTGAATTGTGATGTGAAAGGACTTTTAGCAGTACCTGTAAGAGATTAATTCTATTTTTGCTATTTGGAGTGAATTAAATAATATCACCTTATTTTTCCTACTCTTACATACACAGAAGAGGAATTTTGGCTTTTTGGAACACATAAAATTATTATGTCTTTATTTACACTATAGAATAAGGAATCAAAACAAGAGACTAGGGAGTAACCTTAAGAGAGAAAATTTGATAGAGATCATATCATCATATGTCCTACTGAAACCACAGAAAGAGCCCTTATTGCTCAAAGGACAAGCTTCATGCTCTCTATTCCTAGTATGTTGACATTTTTTGGTGCTCTCTAGTGGTATGCAGTTCTTCAGTCTCTTCTAGCTCGTGTCTCTTCTCCCATGTAGTGACTCAAACAGTAATGATCTGGGAATATTAGGATATGATTCATTCCCATTTATAACCTTGTCATTTGTTTTTCTGAACAAATGTCACTGGGTTCATTAGTACTTCTGCTGCTCGGCTTTCAGAAGTCTCTGTGATTATTTTAAAGTTTACCATTTTATGATTCTCTATTTTTCTAATATTCAAAATGTTTACTGGCTCTCTGGATTTCTACTAATTATAGCATTAAATCTGGTCTTTTCAGTCAGATATCATGGCCCACAACCTGACATGACCTTTCCTTTCCCTCTTTCCTCAAGGTAAGGTGCCTACTCTAGCCACACTCCCATTAGGTTTCTTTTGTTCTCTCTCTGAAGTGCTCCCCAGACTTACCATTATTCAGAAATAGTCATGAAATTATCCCCAAATATCTCTATTAGGGTTTCCACTCAGCTGACATTACCTTCAGAAGAGGTGTCCCTTTGTGCCTTGCATCAGACTATCAGTTATCAAACACAAACAGAACCCACAGGAATTGTTTTAGGGGATAATATTGTTAAAGGTCTGTTCCACACTTTGTTCCTTTCATTTCACAGCAATCTCTGAACTTATGAGTCATAGACACAGTAGCTCCCAACCACAAAAAGGAGGTAAGTTTAGAGGAAAGAGAGAAAGCAGCATTTACTGGATGCCAAGTGCTTGCCAGAAAAGTATTACTAGTTTTCCCACTTTACAGATATAATTCTGAAGAGTAGGCAGGTTAGTCTCAAAGTTAGACCCATAGTGAATAGTTAGTTAAAAATGGGATTCAAAAACCAGTACCTTTTCCACATATCATATTGTCTCCCTGAAGTAGTGAATGAAATAATGTAAGTTGGTGAAAAATAATGCAGGGAAAGGGAATGAGAAGTGCCAGAAGTTGGGTATGAGACTGGCCATTACATTTTGACTGGTCAGGGCCTCTCCAATAAAGTAACATTTGTTCAGAGTTTTGAGGGAGATGAGATAGGGAGACCAGCAGAAATCTTGGAGAAACTTTCTAGGCAGCAAGTACATGGTTGGGAGTTTAGCAAAGAGGACATTAGAGTAGCAAAGAGGATATTATGCCTGGAGCTCAGTGATCAAGGAGAAAAGTGGAGGTAGGTGGGTCCAGAAACAGAGTGACAGAGGTGGCAGGCAAATCATATTGCAAAAATTATGACATTTATGATAAAGTAGTTTCTTAAACTTGTGGAATAAAGGAATTACTTTTGGTCATACAATCTCTTTGTTTATCAGCATGTTATATGTTAAATTCTCAGAACTTACTCATCATATAACTGAAAGTTTTTCTTTTTTAAATATTTCATTTATTTATTTTTAGAGAGAGGGAGAACAAGAGGAGAGAAACACTGATGTGTGAGAGAAACATCAATTGGTTGCCTCTTGCATGTGTCCCAACTGGGAACTGAACCCGCCGCCCAGGCATGTGCCCTGACTGAGAATTAAACTACCTTTCACTTTGCAGGATGACACCTAACAAACTGAGCTATGCTGGCCAGGGTTATAACGGGAAGTTTTTGCATTTTGACACCTTTACTCATTTCTCCTACCCTAAAGAGATGTTCTTTAAGGGACTACTATACCTGGTAGAGTTCAGTCTTCCAGCAACTTAGAGACAGCAAAACCTCCTTCTTCAACTGGAGACTTGAGGGACTCAAGAGTTTCAGTGGCATATGCTTCTCATTCATTCATTCATTCATTCTCTCACTCATTTATTAACAATTAATTAATGAACATGTACTATGTGCCAGTGACTCTTCTGAGCACTAGGAATACAGCATTAAAAATAATAAAGATGAATGCCTTGCCCTACTGGACTTTTCTTAGAGTAACCCTTGCTAGACTTTCTAGAAAACTTTTTAAAAATAATTTTAAGAATTGTTTCCTAAAAGTATTTGTTGTGATGTCTAAGTATTAGCTTTCCATATTTGTTTTAAAACTATTTATTTAATTTTAGAGAGAAGAGAAGGGGGAAAGAAAGAGAGGTTGAGAAACATCAATGTGAGAGAAACATTGATGGGTTGCCTCTTGGCCTGCACGCTAGGCATGTGCCTTGACTGGGATTCAAACCATCGAATGGTTCATAGGCCAGTGCTCAGTTCACTGAGCCACACCAGCCAGGGTGCTTTCCATATTTTTTATACAACCTTTTTAAATTTTGCTTTATAAATGTATTACAGTTACAGACTGTGCCTGTTAATAATTTACTGTCTTTTGTCTTTTTTGAACATGTTAATGTACATGCTACAATTTTGTTCAGTGTGGTTTCCCAATCATTTTTATAGTAAAAGGATTATTTTGGTAATAACAGCTGCATTACCATGTGAGTATGTCATGATTTTGCCTGTTGTCTGCTATTAAACATTACATTATAAATACTTTTCTTTAATATTTATATCTTGGCCTACATTTTTATTTTATAAAGTTGTTAAAATTATGTGAAACTATACAGGGAGTTGTGAGAGTGAATTTGAATTGCAGATAGCTTTAAAAACAAATTCTAGGAATGAGGGACTCAGTGTTTATTTTTTTTAAAAAAGTCTTAGCCCTTTTACCCAATTTGATATCCAAAAATAAAAACAGAAGCATTAAAGATTTTTACAAATTATACTCTCCTAAATATACCTAAAATTTCCCTTTCCTGTTTCAAACTCTTCATTCCAAAGCATTTTTTTCTGAATCAGTGTTAATTTCTTGAGTAATTTTTCAAGATTATTTCCCTGTCCACAGCAAGCAGTCATTTAAATTTTATTTCAATAAATTTATTATCTCTTTGAGATTATGATCTGTATTTTATTTTTTGCTGTTTAAAAGTTTCAACAAATTTAAAAGTTTTCTTTTTAAAAAGTATATTTTATTGATTATGCTAATATAGTTGTCACATTATTTTCTCTCCTTTTTCCCCTACCACCTTGTACCCCCTCCCTCCAGCATTATATCACCCTTAGTTCTT